ATGACTTTGCACTATCCCCACCTTCACCCTTAGAAAGCTTGTTGTTTTTAGGCTAAATATTCACAAATCTTCAATTATGAGCTCTGTGTTGTCATGATTCTGGTTGCCCTTCTCTAGACATGGTATACGGACTGTCCATATTTTTCTTAAAATGTGGCATTTAGAAATAGACTATAATAGATATGATCTAATTAATGCAAATATACACCTAATTTCTCCCAATACTCTTTTGGTTATTTTGAGCCACAGAATGACACTGTCATTTTCTCTCATAGTTCCAGTCACTTCTACATGAGCAACAACTCGCATGACCAAAATTAAGTCCACAGTAGTAATTATTTTTCACCCTCTTCTGTTATCTAAGGGTTGAAAGGACTCTATGTTCATCTGGAGACTTGAAAGATCCTCACCATTTCCTTATTTTTCCTGAATGATGTTTTTGGGTTTTTTTTTTTTTTTTTTTTTTTTTGTGTGTGTGTGTGTGTGTGTGTGTGTGTGTGTTTGTGTGTGTGTGTGCCTGGACAACATAAAACAGCTACTCCAAATGGCATCCCTTACTTTCTTGTTCTGTTCTCACCCCAATGCTCCCAACCATCCTTCTGCTCTCAGGCTCCTACCCTGTGCAGGGCTCTCTTGCCATATAGTTCCATCATCTTCATTCTATTAAGCAGATTTCTTTTTAACCACCAAGTGGAGGTCAGAAAGCTACAGTCAGAAAGTATAGTCCAAAATCACTACTATAAGTACACTACTGTTAATTTGTTAGTACCTCTTTCCAACATAAAAATCGCGAGGAAAATCTTCACAACACTTTTTAGAGGCTGAAAGCAAGCAAGGAAGAGGAGCTCAGGAAACTGTTCACTACCTGTCTTTGCAATAAGTGAGCCCAATGTGGTGAAGTGTGAGGTAGGAGCCACCACGTGGAGAGAAAACAAGGACTAAGTGTCTAAGACCAGTCCAAATGGTGAGGCTGTTCCTGTCAAAACTACCTTCAGTGACAGTTCGAAGATGTCTTGAGACCATGCTAAAGAGGTGTCCCTCCGTGGGCACAGTAACAGGAGGCAGAACATTAGCTGGAGCCTCCTGAAGTCTTGGTCTAGAATCACACTAATTGTACAGGCTAACACCTACATGGTGCTTACGTTACACTAGGCATCATTCTAAGTACCTTACATATAACTCACACAGAAGCCATATGAGATAGGTATTAGTATTTTTGTTGTTCTTGTTTCCTAAAAGATGTTCAGAAACTTACCCAAGATCACACAGTTAGTAAGGGGCAGAAAGAAATAGGATGTGAGTCAGTCTAGCTCCTGGGTCTATGTCTTAACCACCAGTATGCTGCTTCTCCAGACAACAAATTATTGAACAACGTGGTCTATTAGGCTATTGACACAGAAGTGCACAGACCTGCCCCCCTCCCCATGCCCAAAAGCCAGTTTCTCAAAAGAAGTAATTGTCCTCACAAATTCTGCAGCACTTCACTCCATAGTGGTTCAGATGCCTTCAGCTGTCTGTCACAGAAAACCCTGCAGCCATAAGTAATAGAAAATCCTTGTAACAGAAAACAGAAACTCAGCTGACTTAAGATGTAAAGGGTAAAACGTAAAATGATCAAATGCTATAACAAGCTGTAGATATGAGGGGAAAAAGTGAAGGTACAGGACCGACTGTCATGGGCAAAACGAGGTGCAAGTGGGTCTCCTGACAAGCTCAGCAGAGCAGTCACCGCGCTGCTCTCCGTCCATCTCCACGCGGGTTCCTCATGTGAACTCTGACATTCTTGGAATAAACACTGCTCCTAACTCACTTCCCTCCTTCTTCTTTCCTGTGAATTACTAGACACACCTGTACTGGTTTCTAAGCCCATAAAAATTGGTTAAAAGACACTAATTTGATAAAATAAATAATTACAGTTTCAAAACATTAAATTATGAGGAACACTTACAACAGAATCCTTTAACCTAACAAACTATAATAATCACTATCAGGACAGTAGGGAGGTAACCCAGTGGTTTCTTCAGTGAGTTGAGGGAGGCAGACCGTCACCTATTCAGAGGCTCGACAGGGAGAAACAAGCAAGCAAGTCCCTGATGATCAAATCATCCTAACAAATCCTCCCCTAACCCTGAAACACACTGTAATGTATATACAGCCTTTTGTTATCACATCGCATTCAAAGTGAGCAGCACCCTCTGTACCTCTCCAGGTTTCACGCCTTGCACACCCTATCACACCAACTGAAAACAGTCCCTGTCTCCAAAAGTGAGCCCTGAGCAGGAGTGGTATGCGAAGTCACCTCTCGCCCAGAAGGTAGAAGACTATCCTGGCACTGCACTGAAACTCATTATTTCCTTCCACAAGACCTGCAGATTTTAGAAATTAAGAGATTTACTACCATTGTGCTCCTGTTAGTTGGCTCCACTCCTGTTTTGCCTTTTAAAGTCTGCTTTACTGCCAACAGACCTAAAATATCTAAAATTCAGATCTGACCATACCATCTCTCACTTAGGAATAAAGTCCAGTCTGAAGTCCAGATTCTTTGTGTACAAAGCCTCCATGGTCTGAACCCTGCTGATAGAGTTTGGATGTGCTGTCCCTGCCAAAACTCATGTGGGAATCTGATCCCCAATGTGGCAGTGCTGGGAGTTGAGTCATGGAGGCGGATCCCTCATGAATGGATTCTCTCCCTGGGGCAGGAGAGGTAGTGAGTGAGATCTCGCTCTATTAGTTCCTGCGTGAGCCGGTTGTGTAAAAGACCCTGGTGCCTCCCCCCCACTCTCTTGCTTCCTCTCACCATGTGATCTGCTTGTACCCGCTGGCTGCCTGCCGCTTTCCACCATGAGTAGAAGCAGCCTGAGGCCCGTGCCAGATGCAGCTGTCCCAGAATCGTAAGCCAAGTAAACCTCTGTTCTGTATAAATTACCCAATCTCGGGTATTTCTGTTATAGCAACACAAACGGACTGATACACCTGCCTACCTTTTCAGTCTCATTTTCTGCCACTTCTTGCTTTTTTGTACATCAACACTAGAGATTTGCTGGTAGCTCTGAACATAACATACTATCTTATGCCTCCTTTGCACATGCACATCTTCTGACCTTGGTAAACTCCTATTCCTCCTCTAAAGCCATTTAAAAAATCTTTCCCCAACTACCCTGCCTCCTGCACATAAATGTAATCACTTCTCCTGTACAACTTTAGAGTTTACTTTTCTCACTGCACATATCTGCATATTTCTAATCTGTGCACATTTTATCCTCCCCCACTATACTGTAAATTCCTTAAAGTAGAAACCTAGTATATAGTAGGCATATAATAAAGATCAAACTGCTGTAAGTATATAGAATTAGTAAAAAAAAAAAAAAAGAAAACATGCAAAATAAGGATGAATGGAAGAATGAAAGACAGTGAGAAAGAAGCAAAATAATGTGAGAAAGAAGGGCAGAAAATTAAGTCCTATGTTTTTCAAAAAGAGGCTGGTCGTAGATACTGTACATTAAACATGAAGTCTGAATGTGAACTAATAAGTAAAACCAGGTAATGTGACATTTCATGGATGATTTACAGAAAAGTCGTTTACATGAGGCAGCAGTAGCATGAGTGGTTACAGGTCTAGATACTGCAGCTCCACTGCCTGGGCTTTGCGACGTTAAGCAAGTTACTCAACGTCTCTACACCACAGTTTCTTCATCTATAAAATATAAATCACAGTGCCTACCTCAAAGGGTAGTTGTAAGGATGAAATTATTAGTGCATGTAAATCACTTACAAAAATGCCCTGTACACAGGAAGCAATAAGTGTGGAGAGTTCTGGGAATGGACTGCTTAAGTTCAAATCCAATCTTCACTACAAATTAGCTGTGAGACCTTAGGTAAGCTACTTCCCTTCTTGGGTCTCTACTTTTTGGTAGATACCCCTCTGTTCTTCTCCCCAGCAGCTGGGTGTGGCCCTGTGCTGCGTTCTGGATGTGGGCCGAAAGTGCCATGAAAATCTTCCATGCCCAGCCCTTGCAACACCTCCAGTGCATGATCTTCCTGCTTTTTCTCCCTCACTGGCTTGTTGCAGGCAAGCACAGAAACTCTGGAAGTGCATGTTCAAGACAGCAGAGCCACAGAAGGAAGCAGTCTGGGTCTCTCCATCACTGCTTGTCAGAGCCACCTGCTAATAAGGAACTCTTGGTTTTAACTTTATGTAAGAAAAGAAGTAAATTTCTACTAAGTAATTAAAATGTTGGTGTAACAGCTAGTATTATCTAACTAACATAATTTCCTTATTTACAAAGTGGAAACAATATTATAAGAATTAAACAGCACAGTACATGGCATGTAATAACTATTCAAAAAATACTGGTAATCATGATATTCCTATTAAGTTCAAATTCAGTTGCCTTCTCTTGTAAATATGATCTTTCCCTGAAGGCCCCCCTTAAAGTTCCATCACTTAGGAAATCGTATTTCCAGCTCACAGTGATCTTTCCCTTCGTATGCCACAAAATAACACACACCATATGAAATGTCTTGTTTAGTGTCTTTTTTGTAAAGTTACACATACTTGAGGAATATTACTACACTATCTTTTGCATCCTACAACCCCGCTGAGCTTGTAGCTGACTGATCATCAAGTCTACATGGTGGCAGAAGGCACCAGACACACATCCACAGGTGCCTGCACTGACGGACCACAGCTGATTAGCTGAGCAGGCTAGAAAGCAAATGCTTGTTACTGTTGAATGACTAAAAGAATGAATAAATGAAGACAATTAATTTAATTATGTTCCATGGTCATAAATTAACCTTCTGACTTTCAAATCCTTATTATTGTTCAAAGTGAGAGCAGATTAAAAGTGAGAGGGATCAGCAGAAATTTGTTACCAATGCTGAACAATTCAAGCCCTACTGATGGTTCACCAGCAGCAGGTTATATTCTCCATTGTAAATTACCCTTGAAACAAGAATTTAATACACGAATCTATAAGAGATTAAAACGAAAGCTTTACCTCACCATGTTCAAGGAGCTGTTTTCTGGAATAAAACAAAAATATTATTTATCTACTAAATATCCATTATACTGTAATTATATAAGAATAAACTTCACATATAATTATATAAGTAAGCTTCATTTCACTAAGCTTCATTGTTCTTAGATTTTTTAGATTTGATTTTCTCTAAACTACTTAAAGAGCATAAATTAAAAATAAAATAGATTAGATAATACTACTAACAGCAATTTAAAGGGCTTAATTTACAGCCACCATACTTAAAGTGTGTCAAAGACGTCATTTTTTGGTTAAGATAAAAATAGATTTTACTGTTCCCTGGAGATTGTACCTCTGGAAGAGTAAGTGAATAAAAGACCTTCTATTAAATATTTGATCTATGTATAGCATATACTTTTGAGTTGCCTTCATTTTAAACAATTGTAAATAACCGAACATCCTAGTACATAAACTTCGTGAGCATTTCTGAATATTTCTTTAAGATAAATTTTTAAAAGAAAAAATATTGGGTAAGGCATAAAAATATTTTTAGTTCCCCAAAAGTTGTCCCAATTGACTAAATATCTGCAGCACACTAGCATGTTCTAGGCACTGTGCACTGAATATAGCGTGAATAGTATCGATACAATTCTTATCTTTACAGAGCTTGTATTAGATCCAGGCAAGAGGTAAGAGACTGCCTGTTTATTGTTCCATTGAAAAGACCGGGTATTTTATTTTTATGAAAGGCTTTACAGGATGCAGAGGCCTAACATGGACTTTGTGCTTGGGGAGAGAAATGAGACAGTGTCCAAAGGAAGGTCAGGGGCACACAGACCCATAGATTTTTGGCAAGTGTGGTTGGGGAAAGGCCTCTTGGGACAGTAGTGGAGTCACCAAATTACTTTGCCTCCACTGTAGCTCCTTCCCTACAGGTGCAGTCAGAGGGTAGGGGTTCCCACTTGTCCTGAAATCTTCCAGTCGCAACAGAGTCCTGTAGTGAGCTGCTGCATGCAAGGAAGGCCGGGTAGGTACATGAGCATAATCACAATGACCCTGACAGTAACTACTGTTACACATAAATCTAGTAGCTAATTCAAAATATGAATACACAAGACACAAACAGCATAAAAGAGAAACCAAGACAAATGAGCAAAACAACTGAATGCTCAGGACACGTAGTGAATGCAAGAAACAAGAGAGTATTAAACGAAAATTCCAATTATTATCTTCAAAGAAGTTTCAGAGGATACTACACCTATATAACTAAAACAAGCTGCAATAAAAAGGAGTTTTCAGACATTCTGGGAAAAATATATTTGCCTAATTTAAAATCTCAAAAGAACGTTGAATAATAGAAGCTCAAAAAAGAGAGCTAAAACAACAGAATAAGAAAACAACTTCCCGAGCTGAAGGAATATTAGAGTCAATAACACACAGACACACACCCCACTTCCAAACCCTGAAAACTTCCAGAGACATTCAATGCTAGAAAACAAAGAAGCAATGCCTACAAAATGATGAATAAAACCCAGAAATATCTACCAATCAATCCATCAATCAATTATAAGGGCAAAATAAAGGCATTTTTCAGATAAGAGAGCACTCAGAAAGCATGCCATCTCTATACTCTTTCCGAAAAATATCATTTGAGCATGTAGTCTATGAATCTAAGACAGAGAAAGCATTAGATACAAGAAACAGTCAAGAACAACAACAAAAAAAACCCAGTAAAACTTAAAGTCAAGTCAAAAAATTGCTGGTGACTTTAAATGTTCAGAGACTTCTTAAGACAGAAGAGAAATTACAACAATCTAGAAGTAAACTTTCAGACTGTTTCAGCATAACATGGGAGGTGAGGTTGTGCAGGCAGGGAGAAGTCAAAGTATTTCAATAGCTCAGAGGTGAAGCAAGCCAGTCTCTAAAGCAAGACAGCCTGAGCACAAATCCTGACTCCACAACTCACTAGCTGTGTGCCTTCGGGAAAATTACTTACCTTCTCTGTGCTTCAGTTTCCTCATCTGTAAATAACGGGAATAATAATGGATTCCCCTCTCACAGGGTAGTTGTGGGGATTTATTAAGTTAACACTAAGATAAAAGACTTAAAATATTGTCAGACACGTAGTAAAACATCAGTACCTGTTAGCTATTATTGCTGGTGATAATAGGTTTCAGATATTAATTGTATCAATATGAATACATTTGCTAACATTTCAAGGAAAATCACCAGTAAGATAGAGATGGCACAAAGATAACCAACAATTCAGCAAATATCAAGAAAATAATTTTGAAAAGCCCGATAAATAAAAACATAAAATCAGACAGCAGGAAGAAGTCCAAACATGACAGATGTGACAATGAATATAAAAATGGGTTAAATTCACCAATTTGAACACAAAGATAACCAACAATTCAGCAAATATCAAGAAAATAATTTTGAAAAGCCCGATAAATAGAAACATAAAATCAGACAGCAGGAAGAAGTCCAAACATGACAGATGTGACAATGAATATAAAAATGGGTTAAATTCACCAATTTGAAAGTGAGAGGAATCTAAATAGAAAAAAAGTAAAACCCAACAATGAGAAATATGCCTAAACCAAAATGCCACAAAAACACTGAGAAAATAAGGCATAGGTAAAAGTATACCAGGCAAATACTATAAGAAAGAAAGTGGATGTGGCAATTTAATTTTCTATGAAAAAGAATTTAAAGAAAATAGCAATAAATAAGGCAAAGAAAATCCCTTATAATAATAAAAAGTACAATCCGACAATCATGAAATGAACCATAGCACTGTCTATATAAAGCAAACACAATTAACATTAAAAGACAATTTTGGAAAAAATACATTCTTAATGTTATCTATGAACATAGCTTTCAGAGACAATAACAGATAAAGTAGAAAAACAAATTGGTTTACTAGAGCATTTAGAACAGCACTATTAGCTACATGATACAACATGTAACTTTGAACTCCCCCAAAATAAGAAATTCACATTTTTTAATTCTCATAGAATAGTATTTCAATAGCTCAGAGGTGAAGCAAGCCAGTCTCTAAAGCAAGACAGCCTGAGCACAAATCCTGACTCCACAACTCACTAGCTGTGTGCCTTCGGGAAAATTACTTACCTTCTCTGTGCTTCAGTTTCCTCATCTGTAAATAACGGGAATAATAATGGATTCCCCTCTCACAGGGTAGTTGTGGGGATTTATTAAGTTAACACTAAGATAAAAGACTTAAAATATTGTCAGACACGTAGTAAAACATCAGTACCTGTTAGCTATTATTGCTGGTGATAATAGGTTTCAGATATTAATTGTATCAATATGAATACATTTGCTAACATTTCAAGGAAAATCACCAGTAAGATAGAGATGGCACAAAGATAACCAACAATTCAGCAAATATCAAGAAAATAATTTTGAAAAGCCCGATAAATAGAAACATAAAATCAGACAGCAGGAAGAAGTCCAAACATGACAGATGTGACAATGAATATAAAAATGGGTTAAATTCACCAATTTGAAAGTGAGTGAGAGGAATCTAAATAGAAAAAAAGTAAAACCCAACAATGAGAAATATGCCTAAACCAAAATGCCACAAAAACACTGAGAAAATAAGGCATAGGTAAAAGTATACCAGGCAAATACTATAAGAAAGAAAGTGGATGTGGCAATTTAATTTTCTATGAAAAAGAATTTAAAGAAAATAGCAATAAATAAGGCAAAGAAAATCCCTTATAATAATAAAAAGTACAATCCGACAATCATGAAATGAACCATAGCACTGTCTATATAAAGCAAACACAATTAACATTAAAAGACAATTTTGGAAAAAATACATTCTTAATGTTATCTATGAACATAGCTTTCAGAGACAATAACAGATAAAGTAGAAAAACAAATTGGTTTACTAGAGCATTTAGAACAGCACTATTAGCTACATGATACAACATGTAACTTTGAACTCCCCCAAAATAAGAAATTCACATTTTTTAATTCTCATAGAATATTTACAAAAACTGAACATTAATCTCAACAAATAGCAAATAAATAAATCATAAAAGTAAAATGCAAAATAAAAGAAACTAGTTAGAAATTTTAAGGCATTGTTCTAAGCAATTTTGAATTAAATGACCAAAACTCAAATAACAGACTATATAGAAATCAATGGTACACACAGGATATAGTCTAAGTGGCCATGAATGACTTTAGAGGAAAAGGCATAACTTAAACGTGTTTACTAGAAAACAATAAAAATTGATAATAGATGAACTGGACATTAAACACAGAAAAACAAAACATCAAAAGAAAAAATAAAAGGACATAAAAATAGAAGTAGAAATTAATAATAATTAATAATAATTAATTTCTAAGTTAGTTAAGCAATCTTCAGAGAAGAGAGCAAGATATAAAGCAAGTAATACTACGAGATGAACATAATTTTGGTTCCCAAACCAGGTGGGTATCCCATAAAAACTCTGCAGACCAATCCCACTTATAAAAATATAAACAAAAAACACTACATAAAATATTAGCAAATAAATTTCTTCACAACTTACTTCTTGTGTCCCATAGCAATTTATTTATGTGGCTTATTTGAGTCATGTTATATATTGCTAGCATCTGTTTATGCCTTAATTCTAGAGTCTTTACTAAAACCACCAAAAAATGTGATCCAACAGAGTTTTAACTATAAATAGGGAGGTGGGGGAAAGAGGAACGGGTAACGGGTCACAAAAATCAACTACAATGTATATTGAGAAGTTAAAATAGATAAATAAAAAATAAAAAATAAAAATTTCATAACATTCAGAAAAACAAATAATTATACCTTCTCTGAAAGTTAAGGAAAAAAGCACGACCAAAATGAAACTTTTTCTTACTTCCATTTAGTGACTTGAAATTCTAGTGATATAATAAAATTAAACTAAATCAATTTAAACTTTTAGTTAGTTCACAAATATAAATATCACCAAAACAAGTCCAAATACATAAAAGAAACCCATAAGAATTGTACAGTGTCTTTTTTTGGACAAAACATCTAAGTTTGGTTCAATCTCTTATTTTAATCATAATGCTGAAACTTAATGTATATTCACTTGAAAAATTAATATTATAGTAAGTTATTTATTAGTTAAATATAACATGTTTTAAAAACAACTATGACATAATTACCTTTGAAAAGTGTTTGTAGATAAGACACATGAAATATCACGAACAGTCTGTGAATAGAATCAAATCAATGAAACTTTTCTAAGGAATGCTGCAACATTTAAAATACTCTGATCAATTAATACAAAAATCCCACTGTAGTGGATTGAACTATGTCCCCCCAAAACTCACTGAAACTTGAATTGTGTCCCCCAAGTTTTATGTATTAGAAACTTAGCACCCACTGGGACTGTTAAGAAGGTGGGAAATCCTATTATGGTAACTGAAAGGTGGAGCCTTGAAGAGGTGATTAGATCGTAGGACCATGCAGTAGTTAATGGATTAACAATGGTGATCAGGGGTGTGGTTCTGAGGGCTTTAAAAGAAAAGGAGAATCTGTCTGTCTCTGTGTTCTCTCTGCTTCCGCCATCTTGCAATGTGAGACCCCTGAGTCACTGTCGCCACTACTAGGTGGACTTTGGACTTCCTAGACTCAGAAACTGTAAGCAATCAATTTCATTTTCTTTATAAATCACCCAGTTCAGTGTACTTTGTTATAGCAACACAAAAAGGACCAATACACCCACCCTAGAGAGAAGTATTTTTTAAAATTAAAGTGAGTCCTCAGGAAGAGTTTAGTACCAGCTCTGCCCCAGACAAATAATTTAAGTTATAGCTTCCTCTTCTATTAAAAAAAAATAAGGCCGGCCCGGTGGCGCACTCAGTAGAGTGCAGCGCTTGGGAGCGGAACGGCGCTCCTGCCGAGGGTTCGGATCCCATATAGAGACCTGTCCGCTCACTGGTTGAGCACGGTGCGGGCGTGACACCAAGGGTTGCGATCCCATTGCCGGTCGTGACACTGAGGGTTGCGATCCCATTACCGGTCATGAAAAAAGACAAAAAGGGAAAAATAATAATAATAATAACAACAACAGAGTATTGGAGAAGTGTTGGAGTCGATCTTTAAGGTCCACGTCAGCTGAAAATTCTAAGCTTTTACATGTGGATAACTATTTACTAGTGCTGCAAGTTTATATTTTCACTGGAAAGGGGGTGGGGTGCAGGTTGGTGTGCACAAAGAGGCAGCTTCTCCATGTACTTTCAGAGACTATTTTATTTTAGCCGCCCAAGGAATCTATCTGTCTACCTCCCTTCCTACCTGTCTACCTATCTAGCTACACACATTTATATTCTTATCTCACTCAAAACTCCTGATTATTAATAAATTAATTATGGACATAGCTGCTTCCCTGATATCTTTCAACCTGAAGTGGCTGCTACAGAAGGTTTAGGACACTCATCAAAATGTACCAGATTTGGTGAGGGTGGGAAAAAGAGGAGTAAAGGCTAAATTTGGCCAAAGAGGCTTTAGCAGCAACTTAAACAGTAAAAAAAATTTATGACTTAAAATTTTGCACCGTGCATATGTTGTTTATAACTCACAGACAAATGTTGAAAAAAATACATAGTTGAATTTGGACTATAAAAAGAAATCTAAATTTAGAATTTTTAACTTCTCATTGATTCAAGAGCATCTTTCATGGAAGAATGTTTCAAGTTCCAAAGGAACTGCTATATAAACACAATATTAATATCACAACTAGTTATGCATTATGTGACATAAATGAGATCCCAGTCAAATATGCAAGCAAATGCTCATTAGAGGGTACAGTTAATAAGATGTAATCATTTACAGGAGTTTAAGATTCAACACTGTCGTAAGAAATCCTTACTATACATACCTTCCTTCTTCCCTTCCCAGGAGTGATTTTACACAAGTGAAAATGTAAGTGAGAATTACAAGTATCTCTGAGGTGAAAAAGCAGCCATAACAGGACAAATAAAGACTGAGGGGTTTATAAAGAAGCATAAAGGAATGTAGTTTTTTGGTGGCTGCAGGGATGGGTGTGTGTTTGTGTGTGTGTGCACATGTGTGCACATGCATGCACATATGTGCCACTAGTGCCCATGCACAGTTTGAGCTGTGGTGTGTTTGGGGGACTAGTGATGTGTTTATGAGTCTTAGATCCTAATTTTTAAAAACCTAGCAATAGTAGGTCTAGCTATCATTTTCTCTGCACTGAACAGTTCGTTCCTGCATCAGCCCGTCTGTGGAGCCCTGTACGAATGCCACAATTGGCCATGATGGACAAAACTGGGTAAAGGAGAACATCTTCAACCTGAACTAGGAAGGGCCAATGGGATAGAGAGCAGCAAACTTGCTTGTACCTCAACCATTCCTTCTCATTTCCTCTATCCTGACCCTTTCCACATGGTCCCCAGGGTATCAGATCTAGGCTGAAATTATAGAGATGTAGAGGGAGATGTGTTTCTGACTCATAAATTTATTCGTATTTTAGGTGAAAACAAAGGAATGAGAGATGTGGGAACTGGAACTATGCAGAGAAGATATGCAATTTGACTCTAGAGAAAACTCATTTCAACAGGGCCACAATTGCCTCGAAGCAAGAGAGCTTGTAAACAACAAAAGTAAAAATGGTTCGGAATTGCTAAAACACTAAGGACCACTGTCTTTAACCAGGCTATTAGATAAACCATTCCCAGACCAACAAAATCTACCAGTAATAATTTAAAGATTTCTTTTATTGTGATAATATTTTCTTCTGTTGTGAAAACAGTGAACATTTAACAAAAGGTTTCTTTTAATGGCTATACACATTCCTCCTGTGTACATCTACTAAAAATAAAGACTTCTTTGAAAAGTGCTTTACTTTGGAAAGATACCAAAGTTGTCACCATACTTTTCTTTCCTAGCACCTATAACAAGTGTAATTTGGTAGTCATCTGTGTGATTATTTGCTGAATGGCCCCCACCCCGTACCCCAGGATGTAAGTTCCAAGACAGGAGCTGCCATGTTTATTTGTCCGAGGGTACCTACAATGCTATGGTAGTACTTGGTACATAGTAGGTGACTGATAAATATCTTTTGAAAGAATAAATAATAACACCTTTTATAATGTGGCTTTCTAAAAAACCCATATAATAATAGATAAAGAAAGATCTAAATAAGAAATTTTTAGGGAAGGGAAGAGTTCATACTAACAATAAGATGCAATTCTGAGCAATTAGCATTAATTCATTATAGTCCTTATCTTGAACCCAAAAGCAAGTAATAACATTTTTAAAAACATACCTTTTTTAAGATGAAACAAGTAATCACCAGAACAACTGGAAGCAATAATGTCTTTGCATATCTCAGTGGAGTCTGAAATACAGCAAATAATTCACAACAGTTATTTATTAAATTTTATATTAAATTAGTAAAAATGTACATCAAATTGAGTGTCCAATGAAATTTCTAAAGGTAAAACTGTCAGCAGAATATATACTTACCAGCTTCCATATTTTAATATACGAATCAACATTATAAAAATAGTTATATAAAGTATTCAAAAATTAAATGATAAAAACTATTAAACCTAGAATTAGGTATGTCTGTTATTTTATTCCTTTCATTTGGTTTTATTTTTATTTTTTTACTTACATAACAAAGTTTTAATGGAATGTTTACACTGATCCCAGCCCTACATATCATTTCATGTGCTGCAAAGTTCCATTCTTTTCATTGGTGAAACTAGAGCTAAAAGGAAGAAAGCTAGCCAAAGTAATTACTGTAAGTATGAATAAGTACAGATATATCAGCTACATAATTCTCATGACCTAATATTTTGAGAGCAAGTGATTTTACATGCAACTAAATGACATATTTCTTGAAAGCAGAAACCAGGTCATATTCTTCTTTGCAGTCCTACAGAAAACTGCCTCACAGATAATTAGGGGTCAATAACAGTTTCTGAATAAATGAATGACAGGTTGGATGGATGAGACTAATGTGTGGTAAATATTTATTATTATATTATTATATTTACCACTAACTCAGAATTTGTAATTAATACACAATTACTGAACCAGTGACAACTTTTTCATGTTCTATGAAGAAAAATTTAAGCAGCAGATGGAGGAAAGAGCACTGAATTGGGAGTTCTAGAATCCATTAAAACCCATGTTCTAATCTTGGCCCAGTGTGTCCTTTAGGTAGATTGTTTAAGCTTTGTTTTCTTCATCTACAAGTGAAGGAGTTATACTACAAGACCCCTAAGATCCCTCCCTGCTCTAGTGTTCTATGATTCTATAAGGAGGCAAATATTTTAAAGCTCAATATGAGGTTTTTTTAAAGGATAATGAAACTACACATTTCTATAACTTAATATGAATTTTATATATTCATTATAACTCATTAGTAGTACACCTTTCTTGGTAATACCTTGCTAGAAAATTTTGTAATATTTGGGGTATTAAATGTAATAAAACTAAATTTCTTAAAAACAAAAACAAGAATTCTGATTTTTTTCCTAAATAGTCGTATACCTCCAAGTAGCCTAGGTTATAAAAAGTAACTGAATTGTAAATAACAGTAATTATNGTAATAAAACTAAATTTCTTAAAAACAAAAACAAGAATTCTGATTTTTTTCCTAAATAGTCGTATACCTCCAAGTAGCCTAGGTTATAAAAAGTAACTGAATTGTAAATAACAGTAATTATTACAGGTCATATAGTACGTTAAGCACTCTCCCTGGATTATCTCATTTAACAATCATCAATATCTCTTTAAGGTAGGGATATTCTATACTGATTTTACAGATAAGAAAACAGGTGAGGAAAGCCTATGATCAGCAAAAGTTATAGTAAAAAATGACAAAGTTGGGTGTTTCTGAGAAAAAATTTTGAGTTCCAGATTAAGAGGAAATTTAAGAGCAATAAATCATTATACCTATTGAGAAGGAAAAAACAGAGAAACATTCATACCTCTTTTTCCATGAAATCAAATTCAGGAGCACAGGTATATATTAAGGTATCAAAATCTGTATACCTTAAGATTCTGGCTGCTATAAGGTCACTGAGGCGAATCTGGAATTAAATAAAGTAAAAATGAATTAAAATTACACAAATGCTTATAGTTAATAATAACTGATTTGATATAAGAGTAGTAATAAAGACTACAGAGAAGATAAATCTAAGGTACATAGATGCCTCTCAAATAAAACAAAAAACTACAGTGAACCAAATGTGCTACATGCTGACATATCAAGGTAACTGAAAACAAAGAAATATCAAGAGAAATCAAATGTGGAAAGAGGTCAGAAAAAATAGGCAGAGGAGATGAGCAAGAGTGAGCTAAAATCAACATTTGCTGGGAAGAAACCACCGTGGAGTTAATCATGAGATTATATAATCAGATAATTGATAATGAAAAAAAATTCATTTAACCCATCTCACCACATATTGTAAGTCATAAACAAATTTTCTACACATTGTCACTTCACAAAGGCTCAGACACTGATTACAACATTTGGCATTTCTTGACATTTTTCAGACATACATTTAAGCCATTAAGTATGAGAGCTACCCCTCAGAAGAACTACAACAGTTATGCATACTACTTGGATTTAGTTACTTGATTTCCAAGGCCTGAAAAATAACCACCACCAATCAAACCCAATGTAGAACTCCTATTTTCTACTGATTATTTACTACCTGCTATAAGACAGTTATTTTTCCACTGTGTTCTCAGAAGGCCAGAAAAAAAGAAAACATTTGGCACATAAAATCTTAACTCTATTTTACAGAGACAGAAATTATTTTATAATGAGTTTGATGATTATCAGTGGTTTTCATTCATTCATCATTTCTTT